AATCACCCCACTATGTAGGAATATCTTCTTAGAGTTGGAACCCCAAATAATTGTCATGTAAATTATATAATAACTAAGCTCTTAAAGTGAATACAATAATATGCTTGTTTTTGTGTATTATAATATTATATTTTGGTTATTGAATTATTTTTATTTATTTTTCTCCTCAAAAAGAGAGTGTAGTACTTTCTGTGTTTTTCTATTGTCTATAATCTACTGGTTATGGCTGAAAAAAGTCAGGGGCATTAAAATTTTATGGAATTTTGTTGATCCTGAGAGAGAATCTGACATCTTGAAAGTGAAGTTAAAAATCAAATGGACATTTTCTGTATAGTTCTCTAGTCTGCTCCAATTTGTTTAATTTTTCTAGTTAGCAGAAAAATAGATGTTATTTTTGCCCTATTGTTTGCAGCTCAAGTGGCACAAGGAATACAACAGAACTCTGTCCATATAAGGAGTTATAATACCTTATCTATATATATAAAATCCTAAGCAACCATTACGACAGGTGACCAGATGACTGGCTGGGGGTTAGACACTCAATGCAGGAGCTGTACCCTGGTGGTCAATGCGCTCCCACAGCCAACCTCCTGTGGCCAGCCAACCTCTCATGGTCCCTCCCACAAGCCCCAATCAAGGATGGCCAGCCAACCTCCAAAGGTCCCTTCACCTGGCAAGCTGGTCCCGAGTGAAACTGGGCAAGACAGCCCCAATCGGCCTGATTGCCGGCCAGGCTGAGGGACCCCATCTATATATGAATTCATGCACCAGACCTCTAGTACATTGATAATAATAAAAGCATACTATGAAAATTGACTGAATGACCCTCTGGACATCCTTCCAGATGCCCTTCCAGTCAACCTTCCGGGTGAAGCTGGGGCTGCCGCCATGGGATAGAGGCAGCCATTGTAGCTATGAGGGGGAAATTGAGGCAGCCACTGCAGCTGCAAAGACCTACTTTGCACGAATTTCATATATCAGGCCTCTAGTCATAAAAAAGGGTGTTTTTAATAGCTGTCTTGGCAAGCAATTGTATAAATGACAATTCTTTTAAATTTCTTTTTTATTTCAATGATTATTTTGTGAGGACATGAGTTGATGTTTAATTTTCTGCTTCTAGTTAGCCTAGTCAAATTTTATGCTAGAAAGATTAGTTTGCCCTTGATGTAGAAATATTAAGTGACCTGGACATTGTGCTTACACTGTCCTTGCAGAAACACAATGACTGCTACACTGGGGCAGAGGGCATTCCAGGAAAAGCAACCAATAATGTATTCTTTTTTTTTCTCCAGGGATCTCAGAGTCTAATGAATACTTGTTCAGATTACTCCAGGGATGAGAGAGAAAATGGGCTTCTACAAAGTCCTTTTAATGCTTAGAATATGGAATCAGCTGAAATATGGAAAAAAGAGCCCAGGACTTGCAGAAAAATGCTCTTGGTTCAAGTTATGGGGTTTCTACTAACTAGCCACATGACCATGGGTTTGTCACTTAAGTCTTTGAGTCTTGATTTTCCTCTATAAAATAGTGATACTAACACTGATGTTAGCAAGGCTGTTTGTGGTATCAAATAAGCTGACATAAAATAATCTTTGTTAAATATTAGATGCTACATATACAACATCATTATCATCATTGTTAAAATAAAAATATTTATTGAGTGCTTTCTATGTTCTTTGCATATGTTAACTCATTTAATTCTTATAATTAACCCAATAATATAAATACAGTTACTTGCCAACTTTCTGGAAGACAAAACAAATGCCTCTATAGATTCAGTAACTTGTCCATTGTTATAAATTAAACTGACTCCTAAGCCTGCAGCATTCTTATTCTTGGAATGGCAGTAATCTAATCATCTAAAAGAGTTTCCAAACTTCCAAAACTTAATCTGTAACCTACTATAAATTGAGAACTAATAAGGAAACCATTTTTAATGGAGCAATACTTTTTCTGTATTCTCTTTCCACTTTCTCATTTAAAATGTCTGGACTTTATTAATGTTAAGTTGATAATCAAACAAACTTTAAAGTAGCTAGGTACAATCCAGCATCTACTGCAAAGAGTATTTCTATTTCTTCGCAGACATTGTGTTGCAGAGAACAGTGTTCTAAACTTGATGTATGTGGAATTCAGAAATGCCGGCACTTGGAGGAAGCTAAGACTAGGTATTTGCATTTTAGAGTTTTCTCAAAATAATAACTGAAGTCAGAATAGTGAATGAAATGGGAAAGGGCCAATATTGATATGTGATGAATACTTGTTTATAGAATAGAGAGAAAGAAGAGGAATCAGCAATAAAAAGACAAAATGAACTATAAGACAAAAGGTGAGGAAATAGTGAATCTAGAGAGTTTAATACATATCATTGAATCTATGAGAAAGTAACTCTGGGGAGGGAAGAAGAGTGTCTCTCTATCCCCTTCTTCCTTATCCCTTACATTTGGCCCCCCCCCCCTAATTAATATGCTGCTGTGGATAGTTTTAATCTCTTTAAATTTTACCCTAATTAATATGCTGCTGTGGATAGTTTTAATCTCTTTAAATTTTATTTTTTTCTTGATAACAATAATGGGACTTAGCTCACAGGTTGATTGCTAGGGGGATAGATGTTCTCAGAAGGTGACAGGTTTTGAGATGTTGTTTCGACCCAAAGTGGGAAATAGGCAGAGAAGTGAATTTTGTCAAGAACGATATGGAATAGAAAGCATTCACACAAAACACTCATTGATGCATATTTTCCATGAGGCCACGTGGCCCAGAGGCCTGTGTCTCACCAGCTCCATATACATTCATAGTGCAGTTCTTCATTACATGTTACTAGGATGCTGGGATGAGAAAGATATCAGATTTGATCCAGAAACAAATCCTTTAGCTGAACTTGGCAATGGTTAGACTCACCTCAGAATATTATGCTCCATTTAGTTTGCAAAGGGAATCAAAAGAAACTTGAAAGAGATAAACTTGAGGAGAAACCCCACTATGCAATGCTCCTTATTCTGTGTGCTCACTGTGCTGCGCGGTGGGTAGAGGCTACCTGGGCTCTGGAGCAAGGCAGTCCTAGTGCAGCGCCTCCTGCCTGCGGTGTGCACATCCTGCACCTCACCCAGCCTCAGGTATCCTCCTCTTCCCTCCGAGGGAAAATAATGCCTACCTCCTTATCAAGCACCCAGAGTATCCATGCACATAAATTGTCCCTCAAAGATTAAAATCATTATAACTCCATTTACGATTTTAAAATTCCAACTGCTTTCTGCCCAGATGTGGAGATAAGGGCAATTCATTTCTTCTTAAAGATCACATTGCCCTACCTGACAGCTAGGGGCACCCCATATATCTTGCAATAAAGATCTCACATTAAAAGGCAGTTGACCTTTTCTGCAGGAGCCATGATTAAGTGACATGACGATTATCAGGCGGAATCCCAGGGGTCAGTCCTAAGAAATACCCAGAGAAGCACATTCAGCCTCATTTGGTTTTATGACTTCCAAATGGTTCCTAGAATTTTAATCCTAATGCTTTCCTAGGAGATTTGCAGGACTGCAAATTTATAGTTCTGATATATAGTTCTGATAAAGTTCCACAGTCATCCCTGGGAAATCACTGGTACTCAGAAAGGAGAAAATCCACAGTGTAACACGTGGAAGCTCAGGGCTGGTTGTGTCCCCGTGGGGGCAGAGGAAGCAGTGAGCTGAACAGCTGTGAGCTAACTCCCTTCCAAGTGGGAGAATGCCAGGGACACTCCCCGGGTGGATAGAGGCTCAGTGGTCATGATGGTGAACCCCATGGGCATGCTGGCTTCTCTGTGCGGTGGGGACACACATAGGGACACCATGGTGAAGCAGACAGCTCCAGCTCAGGCCTCGAGGAGCTCACAGTCTAGTGGCAGAACTGGATGAAGGCAATTAAGAGTCAGCCCCTCTCCACCCTATCTATCCCCTGGTGGTTGAACCTTTTAGGGTCTGACCCGGTGCCCCTCTGGAGATGAAGTGCTCCCCAAGTGTCCGCAGAGGCAGTCCTTCCAGGATTTGCATGTACCCTTGAGGTTGTCTAAAACCTGAGTGAAACCTCTGACTGGGTTTAAGCTGCTCTTTTACCTTCCCTGTGAGCAAGTGGGCTCCTTTGAGGATCACATGGACCAATCATAACTAACGTTAACTCCTTTAACTAGCCTGATGAGAACTGGGCTATTTCTGCTCAGGTTTTCAGAGAATCTACCCTGTGTGGGTGGGTTCACTACACAGGCCTCAGTGAGACAATTTCAGAATAAAGATATTTCCAACAGGCATTAACCACCATTGGTTTTGAGCCTTCATTCTTTATTTACTAATCAATTTTCATCTGTCTGGTAAAAACAATAACCGTACCTCTCTCATTGGGAGGGTAGCAAACATCGCAGGAGTCAGTACCTGTGAAGATGGAGCATCCTGCCTGGAACATTGCAATATCAGCTCTATTTTATTCCTGTTCATCCTAGCACATGGTCTCTGTGTTAACCCACATTCTGTAAGTCACCTTGTCCAGATGTAGGAAATGTTTCAGTAGCTATTGGAGGACACTTCAGAAACGCCAGAAACTGCCACCATTCCTTGGGTACATGCCTCCATTTTCTACTTGTGTAGATGAGGGTAAGTAGCCTGGACCCTCTGTCACTAAGATATTTGACGACAAGCACATCAGTGCTTCACAACTTCCAAGCACAGTGAGACCCCAAACCTCAGAGAGGATTCACTGGAGGTGACCCGTTTCCTCTCGTCTCCTCATTTGGTTGAGGCACTCAGAAGCATCTGGGTGAACTTGAGTAGGAAATGAGACTAAAACCCTCTCTCCCATTAAATTAGGGCAGAAGAAGCAGTGTTTTAGCTACTGAGGGGAGGAAACTACAGAAGCCAATGGGGCCTTAGAGGAGGGGGAAACAATGTGTGATTCAAGAAAAACAGTGAAGCAGACAGAGGGGCTGTGGAGAGGGCTCTGCCACTCACAGGGCACTGCTCACATACCAGTTCCTTCTTCTTCATGCACTCCATGAGGACGATGAACAGATGCTGTGCTTGCGTGCGAGTGTACGTGAAGGTCTTCTGGATGGTCACCAGCAGCTGGTCCCGCAAAGACTCGTTGATAAGTCTGCAATGAAAACCAGTGCCCACACAGGTGAATGCAGCTCCTATTTAGTACATATTGCTGAGAGACATCGTAGAACGTAGGAAAGCATTATGACAATTTTCTTTAGAGAGGCATTTCCTCTTCCGGTATGCTTCTCACAACAGGTATTTTGAATGGGATAACTAAAAGGAAACCCACAGTGCACTTAAAAACAAATCCATTTTAATGTCTCAGAACCTAAAAGAGCAAAGTATTGGAAGATTTAGTTTGTGTGTAATACACTCATCCTCAAGTGTTGTAATTAAAAAATGCTTTCAATTAATAATTAGCATCTTGGTAAAATTTTACTGTATTGCTTATCTAAACATTTAAATTTTAACTTCATCTCTAATTGTGAAAAAATGGTCATATCTCAGTCATCTCTAATTGTGAAAAAATGGTCATATCTGGATTTTTGAGCATCAATAAGCATAACAGAACTTTGTTTTCTAAATTATTTCATGTAGGTGGTAGCTTATCTGGCCTATGATTTACATAATCATTATTTATGTTGATATTTTGCTGTGTTATAGTCAACAAGGGTCTGACCCATACAGAGATATCATATTGACTACTTTATTAAAAGACTGTTTTTATACTAAAGGATAATTAAGGCAAGCAGGGAAGTGCACCATATCCAACCAATCCTCTATGATCTCTTAAACATGGACCAAGCATAACTAACTTTAACTCCTTTTATTAGCCTGATGAGAACTGGGCTATTTCTACCAGCCAATTTGATGGCTCGGAATAAAAATTCACTTTATTGTTAACAGATACTGTCTGAAATGAGGAAGATAAAACTGTTAAGAACCAGTGACAAAATGATCACAATTTGCCTAGCATTTTAAAGTTTACAACTTTTTATAATTGAAGTATCAGCAATTCCTATGTAAAATAGTAAAATACAATTATATCATTTGATGCTTACAAGAACCGTATAGCAAAAATATTTATACAATTTAAAAGGAAAGGACATTTTATTCACAGAGAACTAGATGCTTAAGGTCACTCAGCAAATACATGGCAGAGCCAGAACCAGAACCTAGCTCTTCTGAATCCTTGTCTAGTGCTCTTTCCATGACGCCACACTGCCTTTAAAATTTTTTATTTTGGAGAGAAAGTGAGAGGGAAAGAAACATCAATTGGCTGCCTCCTGCACATCCCCTTCTGGTGATTGAGCCCACAACCTGGGCATGTGCCCTGACAGGGAATCAAACTGGTAACTTTTGGTGCAAGGGATGATGCTCAACCAGCTGAGCCATACGAGCCAGGGCAACCACACACTGACTTTTATTACATCAAGTGCCCTACACTACTGCCTCTCTTTATCACCGTTGCTATTTGAACAGGAAATTATGGAATTTCCTTGAACATAAAAGCATGACAAATTTTGTTGCTTAAAAGCAAGCGAGATGGGAAGCTTGAGAATATCTTAATATCAGCGGCCTGCTGCGCTCAATATTGTGTGAGGATTTACCTGGACCCTGTAGGTTGAATAGTATGAGGGCCCATCTTTGAGGAGAGTGAATTCTTTCTGACAAAACTATACCAAGGATCCTGAATGTCACTCAGCTCAGTGGTGGAATGGGTTACTCCTCTGCCCCTCAGGAACATACACTAGTGCATTTAGGAAAAGAGAATGGCCCCAATAAGGTTGAAAAGGGATACTATTATAGATCCTCTTAAGTTTACAATGTTGGAGGACTCTGTGGTCTTAGGTGTTGACCAGTCTGAAACCATTTATTCATTCATTCAACAATTGCTTAGCAATGTCTACTCAGTGCCAGACACTGTGGTGCATGCAGGGCTACAGGGACAGATGAAATATATACACTTCCAGCCTTCACACCAATGGAGAAGAAAGACATGAATCAGCAATTCAACTGTGATTGACAGTGGTAAAAAGCAGCAGATTGTGACAGTTGAATAAAATCTAATCTGGAGGTTCAAGGAAGATTCCTCTGAGGAAGTGCTGCTTTATCTGAGCCTTGAGGAATGAATGAGCATTATAGCATGATCAAGAGGGTAGTGGGTCTGGGCAAGAGCATTCTTGGCAGACAAAAGAGCATGAACAGACCTAGTATGGAGAAAATAAAAGAAGGTCAGTATTCCTGGAGCACAGAGAGCAAAAGAAAAGGTGGAACAGGATGGGGCTGCAGAGGGGATGAGGAAGGACAGAATAACAAGCAACTTTCTAGTGTTAGCTCAGATTTTATTTCCCGGCAATGAGAAGCCATCGAAGAATTTAAGTTGGAAAGTGATATAATTACATTTGTGTTCCCAATTACTTTTTCTTAAAAAGTCAGGGCATGAGCACTTGTACCTAGGCATGTGTCTACTTGACTAATAACCCATGTAGATGGTCTAGACTCTAGGCTCTAGAGAATTCTGCAATATCAAATGTACATAGATGTTGTACACAAGTAAGAACATAAGAAACTCTCCTGATTAGTCACTTATCTGCAGGTGTTTAATTTTGAGAACAACTCAAAGTTTGTTTCCTTTTGCTAACTATCTGCAATAAATCCCAGTTCCCTGAGGTCATTATCTGTCTGAGGGATCTGTCACTCGTATCCAGCCTGTCATTTTGTAAAAATTGAGGCATAACATACAGCTAAGCTGATTGTGGGTTTCAGTGGTTAGGAGATATGAAAGACACTAAGAATCTTATACTTTTAGCCCAGTTTTGCAGCTGACTAAAGCTATGGTTTTGCATCAGTGACTTAGCAATAATAACCATGAAATTTTATTTTTTGAAGTAGAAGAATTTTTTCGGTTGGTTGTTTTCCAAGGTGTGGGATGCCTCTCATGGTTGAAGCAGAGATGGATTTAGGTGAAATAAAGGTGATTTGGTCCTTATAAAGCACTTAGGTGCTCATTAAACGTTAAATAACTGCTATTCCTGGTTTAATTCTTTTTCCATCATTTTGATTTCATCAAGAGGAAAATCTCATTTTTGAAGCTTCTTTGCCTTTAACAACTTCCCAACACTTGCAAGCCTCCCACTTTTAACAAAGAAACAACAGATATCAGGTCTCATGCCTTTGATCTGAAGAGTTTAATATCATGGTTTTGAAAAAGATCCTGTACAACATTTGACATGCTTATAACACAATGACCCAGTGGGCTACAGTGATGATCTCTTTTTATCTTCATAAAAACCTGTGTCAAGCAGGTTTTCCACTTTGCAGAAGAGGAAACTGTGGCTCAAAAGGTTAAATGGTTTGTGCAAAGTCACATAGCTTGGTCATCTCAAATGCTTGAGTTGAGTCTACTGGTTTCAGCCTTCCCTCCATGGTGCTGCTTTTCCTGATTGGAATCCAGCAATATGTCTTTCAGTTTCCTAAATATCTGCATTGGGGGTAAAAATATAAGTGTATTTGTTGTAGGAAATTGATTTTCCTTTTGTGATAAAGAGAACATTTGAAGAAAATAAGATGTATTTAGAGGAGATAAATGACTGATAAATGAGGATAATGGAAAGGGCATTCAGTATGTTGACGATTACGTTTGCTTCTAATTTCACAAGTGTTTGCTGTGCTGAACCAATGTCTTGTGTTTGGCACAAAGGATTCTTGTTTTCCCCAAGAGCCCTTTCTTATTTTGTGGCCATATTCTGTAGGATACTGACATGCCTGCTTTCTTGAAATTATTGCTTTCCTAGCTCTTTCCAATTTTATCCCCATCTGCAAACACTGGAATGATTTAAAAATCTGGACTGTGATATTTAATAATCCATAAAAAATAGGAATAAGCCAATTTTAGATTTCTTTTTATGGCTTTAAAATAGTGATTGGAAATTTGACATCAAAACATGGTCTTAGTGTTATGTAAAATGTTTAGTTCTAGAACTGGGTCTTTGACAAAGGGTTACCTATTTATGGAAGCTATTAATCTGTGACTCCATACACCAATGCTATCTTTGGCATACCTAAAATTGGAAGGTTTTCTGATTTAGGAAGTGTAGTCATTGAAGTGAGGGAAATCTTATACTATGGCATTTATGTTTTCATGTAAATGCTGTACTTGTGACCTGGAGCGTTTTAGATGAGTTGCAGAGTTATTTGAAATAGGTCAAGGTTCATCCAGGGCTCAGAGGAACCAACAAAACTTCTCATGTTTGCTATTAGTATTCTGTTCGAATGCAATACTACCAGCACATACACACTTTTCTCAGAATGAATTTAATTACTTGCAATGTCAGAGTTTTGTTCCTAAATTTTAAAATTAGAAAATGCATTTAAAATTCAATGGGACTCAAAGAGCTAGACTTAGGTTAATAGCTTTTGAAGAGAGAAGCCCTTCTAATGCCCTCCATAGCACCTTCTATTAATTTATTCAGATATAATATGAGAAAATTTTATTTATGTAGATATAAAGGATTGCTAATATCAACCTGGTATTTAAAAGATATAATTTCCCATGGAATTTCAAATACTCTAAAGAAAAATGAAATTTTATTATTTTCTTTAAGCCAAAGCAAATTACTAACTATAACACTAAAGACACAGAAAAATTACATGTTGTGCATAAGGTAATGGAAAATGGTATTTTTTAAAAAATCTTCTTTTCATCTTCAGTAAAAGTTATTACTTCATCCCAAATATTATGGCTCTGAGTCATAAGTAACAGCATGGTCCTTCCCAAAGTTAAATTGTCACTTGCTAGCTATGCGATCTTATCTAAGTTATGTAATTTTTCCATGTTATATTTTTCATATATGTAAAATGAGAATTACAATAACACTAATCTCATTGATTTGTAAATATTAAATGAATTAATCATTGTCAAGAAATTAGAAAAGTGCCTGACAAATCCTATGTAAGCATTTATTATTATCAAAACATTGTCTTACAATGTTCCATAGGAAAGAGTCACTTCTTCTTAAGTAACACAACCAGTAGCTGGGGCCTGTGTGTGCAATGCAGAGGTCTGTCCTGGTATCTCCAGTGCTCTGCTCACCTGGTGAGCCCAATGGT